AAGGGACACGATTTGCCCACATTCACACAGCAAATCAGGAGAGATGTTGGGACCAACATCTAATCTCAGTGCTGAAGCTGAAGGACTAGTCAATTCCTTTTGTCAATTGTCACTGAGCCTCCTGTTATGGCAAACCCTGTGCCAGGCATCAGGCACCAAGGAGTAAAGATGACTCAGAGAGAGCAAGGCCTTAACCTCACATTAGAGATTATTTATTCAGCATCCCTCTAATTCTTGTGATTAATGTCTGTCCCCTGCTCTACCCCATCTTTCCCACTAGCCTTCTCTTTTCCTGGCTACCCCTATCTGGTGATATATCTGTCTCCCCTGCTGAAGTGTGAGCTCCTTGGTGGCAGGGAGTAGGTTTGTCTCAGCCTGGCACTCAGTAGACACACAGGGAATAGCTACTGAATAAATTTCCAGGTATTTGAAAAATACATAGATGTGTGAAATAATGTATGCAAGGATATTCTTTGCAGCATTGATTACAATGGCAAAAAGTAGGACATAACAATTATCTATTATACAGTAGCTGGTTGAAATCATCAAGGTCAGAAACCTTATGCAGCACATTAAAATAGAAGACAACTTTATATTTTAAACTATGTTCAACATGCTGCATTTTCTTTTCTTTCTTTGTAAGGTTCTTGCTACGTTGCTATGAGTTTATAGGTAAGAAGTGTAATAGTCCATACAGTTTTAAAGCTTACAAAACCCTTTGGGGACAATCAAAACGAACCACCTCTTTTCTTATTTGGGCCAAATGAATCGAAGATGATGTGTAACTCGCACAAGAACACTTGTCTCTGTACTCCCAGGCAGTTGTAATATGCCCTACATTAGGAGAACCAGGGTGCCCTGGTAATGGGAAAACAGGTAAACATACAGGTGAGAGACCCTTAACTCCATTTGAGGGACTTCAGACATTAGGTTTTTTTTTTTTCCAGCCAAACAAGCCTTTTCTACAATACAAAGAAGTTTCTTGTTTGAGCCAGGCACTGATGCAATTCTTTACCATGGTGGGGGTAATCTAGGCTTGGGGCTAGATGTAATTATTTCAAGGCCTGGATCTGCAGTGTGGGGATGAGCTGGAGGGTGTCCCCACACTACTAGCATACAAGAACCCTATAAGACAAACGTCTGCCCCCAAAGCTACATCTCATTATGGAGGAAGAACCAAGACCCAGTGTTAAGAAAAGTTGGCAAAAGAACAGATTTCCCATGTCTTAAAAAGGGCAGCTGTCAAAAATTCCTCAACCTCCTTTCCAGCACCCTATCCAATCATAGAGCTTCACTTATTGTCAGGCCTGGTGAAGACCTGCTGCCTGCTACAGCCCTGAGACCAGAATTATCAGCGTGCTTCCAGTGCCCTTATTACACCTTTATCTCTGGGAAGAATTCTGTTGGCAACAGTCAGAGCCATGTACTTACTGTTGTCCCTGAGCTTTGTTGTCTTCAGGGATCCAGACCAGCCTAGAAGGATGCAGATTCTGAGATACGATAGGCAATGGAGATAAAATATTTACAGAGAAACTTGGCAGTCAGAAGGTTTGGCATGGAATAAGAGAATCCCAGGACCTGTGTTATGCTCCTGGCTCTGCCACTGATCCCCTGTGTGACCTTGAGCACATCCCTTCATCTCTCCCTGGGCCAGTGTATCCTTAAAGCAGTGAAAAACCTGAAGGAGAAAGGGTCTGTAGGGATTCGCCAATTCTCAGATTCTGCAAGTTCATAAATTTGGTGGACTCAGAGGTGAGCTTTACCTGAACATTATTCTAGTAAAATCAGAGGAATCAAATGAGTTCTTGGGTTGCAGCCAAACCTGGTGGTTAGGGACCTGGGCTCAGTGCTTTATGCCACAGTTCTCTCTTCTAATTACTGTGTGACTTGAGGAAATACATTTGAATCTCTGTACCTCAAATTCCTTGTTTATCAAGTAGAGCCAATTTTAAGACAGACCCCAATGAAGTGCCTATAGCACAGAAGGAGAAAAACTCGGTGAGGTAAGGAGGAACCTGGCTGAGGAGGATTTATGGGAAGCTATCTACTTGGGTCTGTAGGAAATGGGTTTCCAGAGATCTAGCAGTTATAATATCATATCCTGAGGATATCTGGGCAACAAAGGGACTGCGTAGACACTGAAAAGTGAGGGGAACCAGATGACTTCTTTAGTTGCAACCATATGCCCTGCTCTGTACTAAATGCTTTGCAAACACTTTTGCATTTAGACCTCCCAACAGCCCTCGGGGGGCTGTGCACAAGGTCTTGTGACTGGTTCAATGTCACCTGTTAGTAAGTGGTGGTGAATCTGGGATGTGATTTCAGTTCAAGTCTGCCTGGTGCCCTGAAGTCATCATCTCCTCTTGTCTGGGCCTGCCTCACCACACCTCCCCCATCACAGAGAAGTAGAAATTGCAGGCCAGTCAGTTTAACTCTCTATCAGAGGTATATCAAGAAGCTTTAAAAGATAAGGTTGCAAAATTGCTGAAACCGGTTTGGCTCAGTGGATAGAGCGTCGGCCTGCGGACTGAAAAGTCCCGGGTTCGATTCCGGTCAAGGGCATGTACCTTGGTTGCGGGCACATCTGTATTCTTTTCCTTGAATTGTACCCAAGATCCCCTCCATACAACCTGGCTATTTCCCCTCTGAGCACCTCCTTTCTTAAGTCATCCCCTGTAAGCTGAGGAGTCTTTGATACACTGTCTTTGAGTAAAATATACTGATCACACTGTTTCATAGCATTGAGCACTTAATGAGGGCTTGATGGGTGAATGGGTGAGCATATTATTGAGAGGGCGAATAGAAAAAAATAACTGAACTCATTTTCATAGTCAACAACCATTTATTAACACAGAAATGAATAAGGCTTGGCCCCTGTTCTCAGAATGCTTGATGCAGAGGGGCAGACAATCACAAAGCTGCGGTAGAATCACAGTAGATAAGTACTATCAATGAGGTACAGACAAAGTACTTCGGAGGCACTGTGAAAGGGATACACAGGTGAGGGAGAAACAATTTTCCAACTTATGCCTGCTTATAGTATTCAGGGAAGGCTCCAGAAACATCACTGATGAGTCTCAAAGGAGTAGAAGCCACCAGGTGAACAGTGAAGGAAGGAGCCCTTACAGGCTTGGACACAGGTGTAGTACGTAAGGTCAATCAAGTAAGTGAGGGGTTCAGGAAACCAGGCATGAATGACGGAAGAAGGAAAAAGTGAGCAAGGAATGAGTAGAACTGTTAAGCACAAACCTATAGCTCTACTGTGGAAATGTGAAGGTCTTGTTTCTCCATGGAGAGGAAAGAGGGAGGGGGGAAGGTGGGAGGTGCTAAGGTATGGGTCCCTGCCACCTCTCAATGGCCATCAGGCTCCAACATCAAGGCTAGAGCTTTACAGTTGGGATCTAATATCCATAAGCCACTAAATTGTGAAAAGCCCCCTTCAGAAGGGAATAATTTGTATGAATGCAGTTCTAACTGGGAGAGAGTCCCTACTGTATTCATCTTTCTCAGATGCTGTTGATCCTGCCTAAGAAATAGCTCTAGTTCCTTCAGGAAATCAGATGGCATGTGGAACCTGAAAAGAGAGGGTGGGTTAGGGTTGAGGCTTGCAGTGATCTCACAACTGAATTGTGAAATGATGATTATTAAAGTCTCTCTCTATATAGTTTTACAAAATTCTATTTGTGTAACATAAAACTCAAAAAATATATATTTACAAACCCTTTTGTCAAATTACCTCTGTCTCTTTCACTTCTTTCATACCCGTATGTATTTTAATATGCTTAAATTTTTGTAAAAACAAACAAACTTTTAAGCTTTTAATTTTAGGATTTTTCTATTTAAATATATGTGATTTTTTCATTTTTCAATTTTTCTTTAAATGCTATTTTTAAAGGTCTTAAAATTTTACCCTTTGTTAAATATTTAGTTTTTATTTAACTCCTTCAAATTCAACTTGTCTACAGTTCTTGGTATATTTTTAAATCTTCTATTCTCTAATATTCCTTTTTAGATTTTTTCAATTTAAAAATTTTAAGAACATTTTGTATCTTTTTCTTGACTAATTCTGAACATTGCTTTTATACTTTTCTCTAAACCTAAATCTATACTTTTTGAAAATTTATTTAATACATTTTCATGAATTTTGCTAGCTTTTGATTTTCAACACACATATTTTATACTCCAATTTTACATGTTTTATTTTAACATTTTATTTCTTTAAAAAATTAAGTTCTATTCTTTTTTAACTTTTTAATTTTAAAGCTGATTTTTTTCACTAACTTTTTGGGTAAACTTCCATTTTTAATCTTTTTCCTTATTTTATTCATTTTACCTGTTTCACACTAAGAACTTTGAAAATGTTTTTAAGCCTTCTTTTAATAGTTTTGAAGTTTTAAATTAAAAAAAAAAACTTTAATTTTTAAAACATTTAAAAATATCCAACTTAAGAACTTCCAACATTTAAAAACATTTTTCTTTTAAAATAAAAAGAAATGTTTTTTTTAAATGTCTCTCTTTTAAAGCTTTTTAGAATCTCTTTTAAAATATTCTTCTTTCCCCAAAAACTATTTGGTCAGCCACAGCTGGAATACCAATTGTGAAGCTTTTTGCTGAACAATACTCCCTGATTTCCCACAGTATGTTTTACAGAAACAAATGACATATAGTAGTTCTAGAATATTTCTATTCCCACTCTGCCTACCTAAAATATTCTTTTCACTTAACTATGCTTTATGTGACCATTTCCGACCACTCCTTCCTCCTTTCATTTAAGGCTGGTCACTAGTTAGTATTCATTTTTCCCACAAGCCCGTGGGAATAGTTCTTTACATCAAGGTGCTCATTGTCATATAGGTGCTGTTGTCATTGTCCATTCCAGGAGGTTTCTGTGATATTTCAAGAGGTGCTCATTGTTGTATAGGTATTGTTGTTGTCCATTCCAGGTAGGATCCTTGCCTACTTCTTTCTTTTACTTTGTTCTGGAAAGTGGCCTGATAAGTCTAGTCTTTCTCGAGACCCTTTTTGTGATAGAACAGCAAATATCCTTCGCTGTAGAGTAAGTCCTCAATGGTAGCCTTGGTGATGACAGCATCGTCACAGCTGAACCACTGGTCCTTTTGTTGCCGGATGAAGCTGGTGTAGTGTCCACTTTCCAGAGTTCCATGGTGATTAATCACTGCGAACAAGGAATACTTATTCTCGTTGGGTGCACATTCTGGTGGTGGTTGGCCATCTTTCATTCTGCTCTCTTTCGTGGAGGCCAAAAACGGGGTCATGTCCAGCTCCAAGGGAAAGGAGATAAAAGTGTTAATCTTTCGTCTCTGCTTGCCGAGATGTTCAAACCGCTTTAGATGAAAACAGGCCACGATGGGCAATTTCTTCATCGTGAGCTGTTTGGTCGATTCCTGGTAGCTTTGGCAATGGCTACATTTGATTTTGGCACCGCTTCCCAAGTGCTCTGGCCTGGTGAACCACTGCAGGCAGTCTGTGAGTGACGGGACGCCTGGTATGTGGTCATTCCTACCCACTGTGCCGTCAGCCCTCTCTGGACTCTGAGAATTGAATGTGGCATAAGAGCTAGGCAAGTCCAAACTGATGTCCCAGCACGGGTCTATCGTGGTAGAGACGCTATGGCAAGTTTGGCAGGTGACATCAGACTGCAGGCCACCGGTAAAGATTTGGTCTATGATGCAGTTACAGCAGTTGAAGGTATTGGCCTCCGGCCCAACACCATCATCTTTGCTGTGTCTGTGCAGCACATCTAATATCGCGATAAGGAACTCGTGGGCATCCTGCTGCCGGTACCCTGCTAAGTGTTCGGCATGAATCCATATCAGGTGCAGTAACTTGTAGGGAATGTGAGGGGTCCGGCTCCCAGAGTACATTGCGTGAAACAGCGAAGACATCTCGCAGACGAGACATAAGCTGGGGCTCGTCATGATGCACTTGTGCTTGTCAGAGAGAAAGAAATCTTTCAGCAGCGGGATGTGGGTGAGGGCCTGCACGATGCAGTTCATAAAGCAGGTATTCCCGAGATTGATGAGCCCTCGCAGGCCTACCGTGTAGACAGACTTTTTCCTCCTCTTTTTCTTGGGTTTCACCAACTTGGGCTCCTGTTCCTTTGAGTCACAGCTGGACCGCTTCTCCTCGGCACCCGACTCCAGCCCCTGCTGCTGAGCAGCATCTGCGGAGGTGGAAGCTAACTTCGCAAGCTTCTCTTTTGTCTCTTTGGCGATCTGCTCTATGTCTTTGTCGTACACATAGTCCTTGCACAGAAAGCAGTACACGACCCCGTGGTAGAGGTCCACCGCTAAGTTGTGCTCTTTCGTCTCTGCATGCTTATGGATGTGCTTCTCCGTGAAGCAGCCAAAGAACACACAGGAGAGACACGAGTGCAGTCTGTTCATGTGGGTGCTGCAGACGTGACAGATGCACGACTTGGCCTTCCGCTTCCGAGTCTCGGGGGTCCCGCTCCACACGAACCGCTGGTAGATCAGCCGCAGGTTCTTCTGCCAGTTCTTGGCTACCTTAAAGCTCTCCACGTGAGAGCAGCCGGTGGGACCCTGATCGAGCTCCACCTCCAGCAGCCAGTCCCCAAAGCCGCTGCGGTCCCCGGAGCTGCCTGAGTCCCCGGGGCCGCTCTGCCTCATCGGCGGCCTGGATGCCGCGGGGCGGGCCCTGCGGCTGGGTCTGCGCCAGGCCCGGGGCCGGGGTGGCACCGGGGAGGGATGCACCAGGGGCGGGGGCGGGAGCGAGAGCGCGGGCGGACAGCGGGCGCGCGCCCAGGGCTGGGGCCGAGGGCGGGGCTTGCGGCGCGGGCACAGGGGCGCGGAGCCGCCGAGCCAGCGCGGGGGGGCGGAGGGGAGCACCTTCTCCTCGCCGCGGCCGCCGCTCCTCCAGGGCAAGGTCTCGGGCGCGGGCTTGCGCTCCTGTAATGGCTGCGGCTTCCCCTCCGCAGCCTCCTGGCCCGCGCTCGCCTTCATCGCCCTCGCCGCCGCCGCCTCCTCCTCCTCCATCTCCCCTGCCTTCGCCGCCGCCTCCGCGGGGGAGGCTCCTCCCCTACCTCCCGAGCTCCAGCGGACCGAAGAGGCGGAGGGCGAGGAAGCTTCTCGAACTTGGGCCATCAGCTCCGCTGCCGGGCCGGGGAGAGAGGCGTCCGGAACCGGGCTGCGGCTGCAGAAGGAAAGAGACGATCGCTCTGAGCGATCGGGCCGGCTCCGGGGCCGCGGCGACCCCCCGGAACCCTCCCGCCGGCCCCCCTCACCCCCCGAGCGGAGCCGCGGCCGCTGCAGACTCCACCCCTTCTATTCAGAGGCTCCCGAGCTAGTGTGCGGAGCCACCCAGGCGTTTACCTGCTCCAAAGGCGATCGGACGGTGCTCGGGCAGAGGAGGGATGGTGGGGGTGGGGGGAGAGGGCGGCAGAAGGAGGGTGGGAAAGGTGCGGGGGGGGGGGTTCGGCCTGAGCTTCAGGGTGGAAAGAGATGGAATCTTTAAAAAAAAGGCGCCACCCTCTGCCTGCCTGGACTGCGCCGGGAGCAGCCTCATGTTGGTACCGCTTCCTCTGACGTTCGTCCCTTAGATCCTTAAAACGCACCGCGTCTATATTTCTACCTTGAAAAATGGCTGAAAGGGGACCCCCCTCTGGGAAATGGGCTCGGGAAGAAAATGGCCCCTCGCTCCCACCTTACCTAGGCTCCCGGGGCTGTCCACCTTCTCCCCCTCCTCCAGGCGCGGTCCTAGGGTCAGCCGCGCTCCTGCGCCCTCTCAGCGCGCTCCTCACCTCGCTTCTGGCTCCAGCACCCTCATTCCCAGGGATCCCTCCGGGAATCGGGAGCCCTTCTCACGCCCTCCACGCGTTCGCGGCCACCCCCATCCTCACCGCTCAGCCCTCCGGAGTCCCGGCCCCTTCCCGCTCCCGCCCCGCGGCGCCCCCGGCCGCCGTGTGCGAAACGGTCCCGGTTACCTTGGGCCCCGGGCGCGTGATTCCGAACGTCAGCAGCCGCTGCTGTCCAGGCGCTCCTCACTCAGCCAGCCTCCTCTCCTGACCTCTCCTCAGGGCTGGTCACAAGGGGGCCGCCCCTGGCCCCTCCCCTCTCGCCGGGCGGCCCCCGGCCCCCGATTCTGCCCTCCCGCAGTGATGAATGGCAAGGCTGTCCCGCGCAGACAAACCTCTTCCTGAAACGGATTCTACTGGGAGGAACCGCAGTGACGGATTGGAGAGAGAGCTTCGGAAATGGAGGTTCCAGAACCTCACCTGGCTCCCGGCCCACGCGCTCCGAACGAAAAATTCGTTGGGGAAGGGGGTTTCAGGGGTGGCAGCTCAGGGGTGGCAGCTCCCTGGCAGGGATCCCTCAGGGACGCATCCTAGTCCGGTGTCTGGGAGTTGAGTGGAGAGAAGCTTGTAATGCTGGAGTGCGGGGAGAGGGAGGGTAAGAAGGGCCCTGAGAGAGCCTCAGGCACTTGCTAGCTGTGTGAGCTCAGATAAAGCTCCCAACCCCTCTGAACCTTAGTTACATCATTCGTTGCACAAAAATGACAATCATCTAACCGGTTAAGAACACTAAATCAGTATATACAGACTAAAGAAGCTTTGTGGCCAGCTTTATCTTTTCTACCTCTCTCAATCCCCAGCTTACAATCAGCCTATCGCATAATAGGGAGACTTAAAAGGACAAGAAAAGAGAACAGCTCTCTTTTGAAGCTCTCTCAGAGTTACCGCTCAGCTCACTGGATTATCCCTCCCAGGCAGTTCATGTGGCTGAGCGTGCAGTCCACATATATACAAGGCTCAGAACTGCCGGGCTAGGCTGTGCTGTGAGAAATGCCGAATAAAGCAATTTGTGTCCTCCGGGAGTTCGTAGCCCAAGAGAGTTTTTCATTCCCTTTAAGAGATCCAGCTTCCGGGGGCACCACCTGCATGAAAGGGCTCCTTCCAGGACTTGTTGCCCTCCATGTCCAATCCCAGCAATATTCATGCTTATCAGTGAGGATATTTCATATTACATCGAATCTCTCCGGGATACTCATGCACCATTTTCCTAAACCTCACAATCGGGTTTCCTTTTCTCAGGCTTGCGAGTGGCATCCTGTAGGTGCCTTCCTAAAATACCATGTTTCCCCCAAAATAATACATCCTCCGAAAATAAGACCTAGTGCATGGAAAGATAAGACATCCCCTGAAAATAAGACCTAGCGCAACGTTGGGAGAAAAAATTAAAGACACTGTCTTATTTTAGGAGAAACAGGGTAGATGTCAGGAGCTCAAAGAGAGTCAATAATCTGTGAATTTTCAGACTAAGCACAGATCCACATAATCCTGGAGAGAAGAACCACCATAACTGTGCCATAGCCAGAATGACTATTGGTTGAGAGGTTCCAATAACCGTTAGTCTCCTTCACAGGAATGTATTTTCAGGAACACGTACCTGGGATATAAGAGAGCGATTCGCTTATACTTCTGTGTTCATTAGTAGCCATGTTTGTAACTTTAAGCAAGCTCCGCAGTCATCTCGAGAACCAGTCAGAAAAGAGCTGGTTTCACCTGTTAGCAGTTCTTACCATAAACTCATGGCAACTTAAAAGGAGTCGCAGTGAGGTTGTGACAATTAGAATCATGAGAGTCCTTTCCAGCCCCTCAGCTCACTTGGTGGCCAAGTAGCTGTGAACTGGAGACCTCCCTGCGACTCCTTTTAAGTTGCCATGAGTTTATGGTAAGAACTGCTAACAGGTGAAACCAGCTTCTCCAGATGCAGGTAAGCTCTCAGTACAAGAGGCTCAAAAGATGGGACAATGCGATTCAACTGCAGTGCCTTTGAGGACATTCGTTTTTCTTCCTCTGGAGTTTTCAAAGAACTTCTGGTAACAATAATAATCAGCTATTATTATTGTTGATATAAAAATCAGCTCGGCTTCCCTTTTTGCTCTTCATGAGTCAACCACAGAAGCCTCCATAGTGTTCCTGTCTGTCAGATAACATGTGAAAACACCCAGCATGTCAGCCCAATCCCTTCCCTTCCCTTCCCCGTGGATTCCCATTTAAAAACATTCTTGTCCTCACCCGGTTTGTCTCAGTGGGTAGAGTGTCAGCCTGGGGTTCAATTCTGGGCAAGGGCATGTACCTTGGTTGTGGGCTTGATCCCCAGTAGGGGGTGTGCAGGAGACAGCTGATGGATGTTTCTCATCTATGCATCTAACTCTATCCCTCTCCCTCTCTGTAAAAATTAATAATATGTGTTTTAAAAACAGTCATTCTCAAACTTTTGGCACTTTGGGTCCCTTTGGCAGCTACAGATAATAGATATTATCTATTATATAATATCTATTATCTCCCTTAAGATAATAATGTTATTTTAAATAAATGCATAAAATGAAATGCATAGGATTATAACATTTGTTATACTGAAATAAGGCTTAAATTTTTGAAATACTGAATACATAGCATATGTACTTATATATTAACACATTAAATGACAGTATCTAGTGATTGACATAATAACTACCACAGTTTCAAAGTAGTGAGCATAAACAATACTTTGAGAAATGCAAACCAATATAATGTGAAGTAAAAATCTTTATTGGTGACATTGCCAATGCAATGGAATACTAATCTAGACCAAGGTAATACTAATATTACTGTGATCTCTCGCCTAGCTTCATAACTGGACATGCACAATTTAGGAAATAAGTAGCTGAAAATAAAGACAGGTCTATTTCCCATCCATTTACATAGACCTCTTTGAATTCCATTTTCTACTGCTCTTGCCTCTTAATGCCCTTAATGGTCAAATGTATTACAATCTACTAAGTGCATATGATGTGCTCTTCTTGCTCCACCCATTCAAATGTATTCTATCACTTGGGGTGCCAAGGTAGGTATTGGTATTCATACCTTCCAGATGGAACAACAGAGGGTTCATTTCATACTGACCTAAGACCTCACAGATGAGAATGAGAGAGGGGGATGCTGGCCCGGGAGCCCCCAGAACGTTTGATATGTTCTGTCTCCTAGTCAGTTCTTTGCTTTAGCTCTTTGTAGGGTAGGGTGTCATGGAGTGAATGAGCAAGTGTCAAATGTAGTGAACTGAGCAAGGGCTCAGTTCACTACATTTCCACAGAATTCTGAGTAAACTGAGTATTCGTGTGAGGGAGTCAGGAAACCCTATTCAGAGAAGGAGCAAACAGATTGCACGTCTCAGTAGGGAAGGAGTGATGAGTGAGGATGTGAGCACCATCACCAGAGGGTCCCCTTGAGTCTGACTATGAAGGACAATGAGGTAGGGGAGGAGTGGGCATGGAAACTCCATCACTGGAGTCCCCTCAGGTCTGACTATGAAGGACAATGAGGTAGGGGAGAAGTGGAAATGTCAAAGACATCACTGCAGTCCCCTCAGGTCTGACTACAGGGACAATGAAAGGCAGACTTCAATAGAGGGCAGGAATGTGGAGCTGAGACACAGACAGCACACACTGGGAACACATTTTGTCATTAAACACTGGAACATTTACAAGTCAGCAAGGGTTACTCTGGTACCTGTGAGTCGTGGCACAGTCATGACATAAACTGTCACATGGACCGTGTCTCACTGGGCCCCGCTGAATGGACATCCTGTTCCTGTGCCGTCTGAGACACAGCCACCTGCTCACTGACGACCGGTTTGACCTGCCTCATGGTACCAGCCCAGTTTATTTTCCATCTTTAAAAAAAATATATATATATATATAATATATATATTACTGTAATATATATATTACTGATTCAGTAATATATATATTACTGATTTTAGGGAGGAAAGGAGAGGGAGAGAGAGGTCGAAACATCAGTGCTGAGAATCATTCATAGGCTGCCTTCTGCATGCCCCCTACTGGGGATTGAGCCTGCAACCTGGGCATGTGCCCTTGACCGGATTAGAACCCAGGACCCTTCAGGCTGCAGGCAGACACCCTAATCTACTGAGTCAAACCAGCTAGGGCCACCTAATTATTTAATTTTAAAAAGCAGTGGATTAGTTTATGGGCCAGCTTTCAAAACTGAGATTTTAAGTAGATCATATGCACAGGCAGGAAATTCAAAATGGACACACAATTGTGTATAGTGAAATGTTTTCCTCCCTCTCCTGACGCATTC